CCGGCGAACAATAGGGCGGCCCCCTCTCCCGGGACTGGCAGGAGAGGCCGGAGCCCCGCGCTCCGCTCCCCAGGGGCCGCTCCCCCCACTCAGGGGCCTCACTCCTCCCGGACTCCTGGGCGCGCAGAGAGGGGCCGGGCCTGCGGACCTAGCTGACTCCCAGGGCAAGGCGGGGCCGTCAGCGTCACACACACACACACCCACCCATCCCCATATCTGCTAGGAGTGAGGGGAGCCTGGTGGAGCCGCAGAGAGAGCCAGGTGGGTGGTGACAGGGGGAGGCCCTTCTCAGACCCACACATGTGCCCCCCACCCTGGCCTGTAGCTACCGTGGGGCCCACAGGGCCCCGCCCCCTCGTCTTTCTTCCGGGGGCCCCCCTCTTCGTCTTTCTTCCGGGCCCCCTCCTTCCCAGGCTGCCCCCAAAGTCCCCCAACTTGCCATCTGCATGGTGCTTTGATTTAATTAGCTGGCGCCCCATCTGAGGCCCCCTCCCCCAAAATTCCCTAGCTACCGGGCTGCCCCCACCCCCTGTGGCACTAGCAGGAAAGGGCATTGCCAGGTAAGCAGAAGTAGTCCCCTGCCCACTGGGAAATGATTTCCAGGATGAGTGCTGACTAGACCTTTCATCGTACCTAAGGGACACACGGCACTCGGGATGTGGTGCAGGAACCCAGCCTGGATACTGTGAGCATGGCGCACAGTTCTGTGGGGCGGGGCAGCCCCACCCCTGCGGCAAATGCCAAAGGCATCGCTTTGCAGAGGGCAGAAGCAAAAGGCCTGGGAGATACAGGACTGCCCCCGTCATTCACCAGGATAATACCTAGCATTGATCCAGGGGTGTTTTTTTGTTCTGTGTCCAGAACACTTCACACACCTTATTCCAGTAATCCTTGAAGCTATCCAGTAAGATAAGGGAGTATTCTCTTCATTGTGCAGTTGTAGGCCGAGAACAAGCAGTGTAAATTCATGGCAGATGAGAGAGGTGAGCTTGGCTCCCTTATACTGTCCATAACTATCATAAGTTCCAGAACTTGAATGCTGAACTCGTTCTGCCCCATCCCTTGTGCTCTTCCATTCCTTTCACACTCTGTGACTCCCCAAGCACAGTCCTGTAGAGGGGCTATAATAAATTAAGAATGCCTCCGTTATCTCTCTCATTTTGCAGAAACGTGTTGTGTGGCCTTGTGTATCTGGAGAACACAGCTTCAGTGGTGGACTGAACGCCCACATTGTACTTGCCATCCATCAGTGCAATTCTCTGCGTAAACAAGCACTCCGCAACAAGTAGGAGCGCCCAACCATTTTCAGCACGCACCCCCTCCCAATACACACACAGGACCTTTTTATCTGGATTTCTACACTGCATCAGTATGCATAACAAGGGCGATTGGTAAAGGCAACATTTAAATGTGCCAGTCATGTTGAAAAGGTCAAGATATTACTTCAAGCAATGATAAATCCTCAATGTGAAGGCCGGGCATTCATTTTTACATATATCTTGAATGTCATCATCAACACCCCCATCCCCCAAGTTTTCCCAAGAAGGTTAAAGCCTAGATAGGTAACAAAAGCACTTTGTCAGATTGTAAAAGAGTTATTTTAGACCAGGGAAGAGACCACCTCACCTGCGGCACATTTCTGTGGTGGCTGCCCCAGCAGCTGTGCATGGGGTGAGGTTCTTTCCCTCTCTCTGTCCAGGTTTCCACGGCCTTCCTTGGCTTGCTGTTGCTTCCCTTCATTCTTTATGCCTCCTTCAGGCCTCTTCATCTCTCCACTCCTTTCCCACAGGTCTTTGCTCTCCTTTCTGCAGCTCTGGCGATGTTTCTGCTTCCTTCTACATCAACAGCAACTCTGGCTTTTCCTTCCCCTCGACAGACCCTGGAAGGCAAATTAGGGTAGAAGGGGCGGAACTGCCATGACACCAATCACCACAATGGGCCGGAGAGGCACATACAGAGATGAAGAGGTTGCCCGCCGGCCCCCAGATTCCCATAAGTGAGGAAGGAAGGCCGAGGAGCAGTGAGCGTTTCCAGCTGGCAATTGCCCGCGGTGCTTTCTGTCTTTGAAAAAAGTGAAGGAAAGACCGTTGCAACCCTCTCGAGGAGTGGTGCTGGTAGACCATGTTGGACTAGCTCCAGGTGATGTCGAATATCTGTGAGTTACAGCAGCATACCTTTGGGTCAGTGTTTGTCTTCTGCTGTTGGAACTGTACTAGAGAGGCTGGGAAATTGCCAGCTGAGCCCCAGTTCCCCGGGGATGGTGGCCTTCCACAATTCCAGACTCATCCCCCACACACACACTAATGCTGAGGAGCCAGCAGGGGACATGCTGAGTACAAGCACAGTGGCCTGAGGATCACGTGACAGGAAGAAGGGGAGCCAGCTTTGAGGCCAGGACAGAGGGCAGTACAACGAGGGAGCCGGGCACAGAAAACAGACGCGGACTCAACCAGGGGAGTGCCATCGCACAGAGCAAGCCGGGGAGGAATCCTCTCCACCCCTGAGCGAGCCTGCATGTAAAACGAGGTGGGAGGGGCAGCCCCCTGGCTCTCTAGGCCCCTACACCAGCAGCAGGGCTCCCCAAAAAGTGGCACCAAATATAACCGCTCGATAGGGGTTTGCTGTCCAGTCACTGGGGCTCCTTGGCACACCCAGGACTTCCAACACGTGGGCTGAACTCCCCACTCCCCCAACAGGATGAATTCACGATAGCAAAAGGGCTGTTGAAAGTAACCCCACACCTACTGCAGCCAAGGGAAACACACAAAAGTAAAAGTAGTTCAGCAGTCGAGGGAGGTGGTGGGGCCCCCCTTGCTGGCAGCTGGACAAACAGGGGTCAGGGATGCTTTAGGCTGGTCCTGCATTAAGACAGCCGGTATGGCCCCTCCCAGCTCCGTGGTTCTGTGACTTCCTTCCTACTCCCCATGTCAGCTAGTACAAGACACTAACTCTGCCTTCAGTCAAAGCACATCACGAGCAGTATAGAAACCCAGATCTCCGATGTGAGAGCATGTGGCAGGAGCTCTTTTCACACATTAAGTGTACATGCCTTCAGTTCTTGTGTGTTATACACGCACAGGCGGTGTCTATCCAGTCAGTCTCAAAACTGAACACGTTTTCATTCAATGGGCATACATCAGTACACAAACCATCTGGACCCTGGATGTCCCAGGCGTTGGCCTCCGGGTCCAAACCTGGAATGGGCACTCCAGGCAGGGCTGCCATTTCCTTGGCGTGGGATTCAAGCCCCCACCTCCCCTCCCCTCCCCATTGAGCCTCCAGCCTAGTACAACTTCCAGCAGCTCCCTTTCTCAACCTTTCCCCTCCCACAAGGGCACTATGTGGGGCTGGACTCCTCCAGAGAAGCTGCACCTGGCACACCTCCCCCCCCCCAGCCAGCTGGCTGCTGGGGTGTCAATTCCCTCCCCCCCAAAAAAAAGCAGCCTCCCCCCTGGCCAAGAGACAGCCTCCGCTTCAGCTGCAGGGGGACCTGCCCACAAGCAGGACTCCCTCACTGGGTCATTTTTGCCAAATCGTCAATTGTTGGGCCAGCTGGATTTTTTAACTCTTCACATGCCCACAGGTTTTTTTTAGTATTTCCTTTAGGTATGTTTCAAAAACATTTTAGCATTTTCATAAGGAAAAAAGTGAGAAAGTTTGAACTGAAAATACGCATACATTTTAATATACAAAAACTATACAAAGTATACATTTAACATAGAAAAATACATCTTGGTAACAAAATGTAGCTTGACATTTCACAGAATTAATTGGGACCAACAAAATGTGATCAAGGTAGCTTTTGTGACTCTGTTATGATTCCATATTGTCTGTGGTTGTACAAAAATCTACAGATGTACACATTTCCTTCCAAGACACACGGGGGGGGGGGGGGGGGGGGTGGCC